AGTGATCTGCAGGCTTCATTTCTTAAGGTAGAGCCCTGATCAAACAGAGTTAACCCTGTGGGTTTAAAACTTGAAACAAGCCTGGCAGTTAACTGTCAATAGGCATTAGTGGATACATTCTCCATGCAATGCTTTTACCTCCAGAGTCCACTAGCCAAAACGTCAGCACTCTCCACTCACTCGGTATAAATGTTGGTTTTCCCCTTAAATTAATATTCTTGCAAAATGTTCTGATGAGAGCAAAATAAAAAATTTTGACAAAATGTGTCTTTATTTTCAGCGATACTCAACTTCTGTATGATCAAATGACTACTTATCAAATTTTAACATAATGATCATAAAAATTCCACATATTTTCCATCAATGTGTTCTTTTTCTCTCTGAAAGACTGTCTCCTTCTTTTAGCTTCTGTTTTGATAAAGTCTTGAGTTTCTTTTCTATATAAAAGCCTGAGTTAAAAGGATTTTAGATGCTTTTCATTTCCTGATTTGTGTGTGAATGCTTAAATTCTGGTCACTGAATACAATATCTGACCCATTAACATGGAGTAAGAGAGGAAATATGATAGTATGAATTGTACAAGAACTGGATCCTCCCTTTACTCCAGGTAATAAAGCTAGCTTGCTGAGGGATAGATCTTGGAACCTCACAGATTCATTCCTTCATTGGTGGTCCCTCACAGATGAGGATGACTCTCTTCCGCTCTAAGGGTGAGTCTGTAACAGTCCATAACAGTCTGTAACATTCGTCACAGACTACCCACAGTCATTTAACTACTAATTGTTTGTTGTAGGCTGGAGGTGCAATCTTGGAGGCACAATTTCCAGCTTTCAGCATCAGGAAGTCCTCTCTCATAGAGCTGCCAGCCAACCAGAGGACGACTTATCTCCAACACTTTGGGATATGGGTGTGTGGTGCTGAATCAAGATTTGAGTAAGCGCATGGCAGTATCAGAAATCGCACGACACCAGGTTATAGTCCAACAAGTTTATTTGAAAACACAAGCTTTCGGAGTCTTACTCCTCCTTCAGGTTTTAGTGAGAGAGGTAGTATCAGACACAGAATTTACAAGTAAAAGATCAAAGAGTCCCACCACTGATGGGATGTTCTAAACAAACCTAAGATGCTGTTAAATTTTTAATCAGTTTGAAGGTTTTAATTGATTGATGTGTACATGTACATGTACATCCCCAAATTCCTTTGAAGTCACTGTCTTGAGAGAACTGAAGGTTTTATCACTGTAAAGAAGCTAGAAGAACAACACCTCATTTTCCGCTTGGGGACCCTGCAGCCCTCCGGACTCAATACTGAGTTCAACAATTTTAGGGCTTAAATTCTCCCATGTTCTAGGCCCCTACCCCACACACCAGGCCTTGTTAACACATACTCTGCCATTACACCACCTATTGGTAGTCACTAACAGACCCCATTAGCAGCTTTTCACCCTCCCAACCATATCATTATCGACTCCTTTGTCTATCCAACTGTTCTTCTCTCTCTTTGGGCTATATCCCAACCTATCATTGCCTCCCTACCTCCTCCGTCTCCCTATCTTCTGCATATAAACTGATGTTTTCCCAGTTACCATCAGTTATGACGAAGGGTCACCGGACCCGAAACGTTAACTCTGATTTTTTCTTCACAGATGCTGCCAGACCTGCTGAGCTTTTCCAGCAACTTCCGCTTTTGTCCCTGATTTACAGCATCTGCACTTCTTTTGGTTTTTACAAAGAGAAAAAGGGAATGCTGACGTTGAACAACCTCAAACAACCATTAGCCAGTACCACATACTGATAGAGACGGCAAATACCACAATCTGCCAACTGTGATCATCAGGGAAAAAAAAAACACAACTACCTTTTCAATTGCTAAGTTAGAAAATAACTCTTTACTGGGAGACAGTGGGTAAGTTCATTCTGATCACAATTTGTTTATATTCTTCACAAATTCAATTCAGCTCTCCTGCTTGTTGAATGATCACAATGGCTGCGTTTCATTTACTAATCCCCATCTTTCTCATTGCCCTGTTCTTTCTTAATATATTCTAATTTTTACATACTGCTTTTTGCACATTGTCCTTTGTCTTGACTTTATATTCATTGTGCTTAATTTTATCATTTTGACCTCTTTGCTCAAAGACCACTTTCTGCTCTCATGGCCCCTCCTCATAGTCAGGCATCATATTACTGATCCCTTCTCTACTGTAAATAGCTTGCCCCAATTTAACCAATCTCATTAAGCCAACTCCTCCTCATCCCTTATTTTGAAACTAACTACAAGTAATTGGATGCACCATCATATTCTACCTTGACACAAATTTCCACTAACACTGACTTCACAAACACTGGAACAGTGATTGGAATAACTAGTCATGTCATTTGTGAGAATGTGACTCCTCTCCTTCTATATTAACAGACATGGTTGCAGCTGCATCATTGAGGAAAATAAGATGTGAATCTTTGACTTCAATTCCTCTGGGAGCACTGGAAATGACATTGTCAGTCCTTTTACTTTAAACTTCCATACGCTGTTTGTTTTTCCATCAGAATCTACAACTGCTGATCTTGCTCAATAACATCAATGTCTGTTTCCATACCTACTTTGTATTTGAGGACTTCCAGGCTCCTGAACTAGCTCCAGATCTACGATGATCTTCATGTAACCTTCGCCTGTAATTACACCTGTCCTCTTGTCTGGTTTGAATTCTCCCGTTGTCCCCAGTGTGTTGTAATTTATTTTTAATTGTGTGCTGTGCCGATGTACTGTGGTGGGCATGAACAGAAAGTGCACACAAAGAGCAAGTCAGATTGTTCAAATGTCCCAAGATCAAAACTAGAGTTGCCGCAAACTTTATCGCAATCTTCTTCAGTCTTTAATTTCGTACTTGAAATGGGAAAGGAGAATTCATTCCCAAGCTCATTGCTTTTCTGTTGTGTTCTGCAGTGAGAAACGATTGACATATCGACTCAAAGCACCCAACCACCATCAAACACTTATTTACACATCCCCCAACAAAGAGGGCAAGATAACAAAAACCCAGATCTTGCAATATACTCCATTGATATTCTACTAAAATGATCAGTAGTTCTGATCTGGGGTACACCGGTCAATACTCTAGCCCAGCCAGCAACTCCTGTATCCCGTGAACGAATAAAATAAAGCTTGCCACAACTTTTAAAAACAGCTGTCAACCATTATGCTCTGCCTTCTCTAACCGATTTTATACTCAAACTGTCACTGCCTCCTATTCCATTGGTTTCAGATTTATTAACCATCCAATTATGAGACACTTTATCAAACACCATCCATGACACATGACATCAATAGCAGCACCTTCATTAACCCACTATGCGATTTCAAATCAAGTTGGTCACAAATCATTTGACAGAGCATCCACTCCCTTCTGGGGTGGAGAATAGAGTGAAAAAAATGTCTCCTAATCTTCATCCTGAATCATCCAACCCTTATCCTCAGACCTTTCCTCTAAATTCTCAATAACCCAGCTTGGGGAGGTAATACACTTTGCGTCCCCATGTCTCATATCTATCTTGGATATTAATCTCATTTCAGATTTAAAATTTTACAATTGATTTTGCATCAACAAACAAACAGGGAGGAGAGTTGCATTAATTTCATTAATCAACTTTTTAGAGTTAATGGTGGCAATTTTGTAATCACGAGCTCTGAGGTACTCAGTTCTTAGCTGAAAGGAATAGAAGAGTGGAAGGAAATAGCAAGTTTGCAGCCTTTAAGAGGAGGAACATGCCTTTCATGTGAATTAACTATTAATGGCAACATAGTATTACACCAGATTTTAAATTTAGGATTGTCAATCTGATTCCTAGGTATTTTCTGGGTTTTGATCCTCTGTCCACCTGATGCAATTTTAAAATGTAAATGCACTAATTGGGCAGGAGGTGACCGAGTAACTCCAGGAGGGAGGATTGCCCTGCAGAGCATAAGTAGCAAAGACATAGAGCAGCCATAATGCACCTTGGTGATACCTTACTAAAGACAGCAGGTAGCACCAATAGTATATCGTACACAAAAGTGGTGATACTGCTAAAGAAGAGGTAACATAATCGATCCAGAATAAGGTCCCCAAGGTTCCAACATATTACACCTTACAAAAAAAAACTATCACTTCTGCACACTTTGAATGCAGCAACTGTGCACTGACAAGCACCAGACTGTTTACATTTCCCAAATTCACGATTGAAAATTCCCGTCTCGTCCTGGTTTTCCATTCATCAGCTCCTAAAGGCATCTAACAGATGGTTAAATGGAGGCAAACAGCTTTCCCATTAGCCCCCTCACTCTCCCTTTAAAAATCAGAGTACGTACTGAAGTTACCAGGATCCAGAGATGCCCACTGTGATTTTCAAATCACACACTTTCCTGATCCTACAGGCCATTGAAAATCCAGCTCAAAGGGTCTGAATTTACTGATTTACTAATTTAACCAAAACAGAAACCAGAAACAGAAAGTGTAGGCACCTCATACTAGTGGCTTTCCACAATATGGTTAACTTCATAAGTTACAGATCAAATCATTCAAAAGAAAAGGATGTGCATATAATTTAGCTGTAATGTCAGTCAAACCAAAAGTCAGCCATTTTGAACTGCACACTGCAATGTAAACCTAAACCTCATTGAAATCCAATTATTCGTTCAGCTTGTTCAATTCTGAAAATACATCACTCCAATAAAACATTTCATTAAGGTGGTTCACCGAAGCCTTCCTTCAAAGGTTTGGTAAATAATTTTCCTTTTATCTAAAACAAACATGTGGACTGTTGATGCGCTAGGCCACATGAGTGAATTGTTGACAAATGTCATACTGTGCAAAGACACAATCATGAACAAAATAAGATTCAGAGCTTCCAGTTGTACAGTGAAAATGCATTTGGGGTCCTTGTGAATGTTGGTATCATTATGGTTCAACTTAAAGAGCAACCAATGCACACATAACACATGAGAAACAACTCATCTCTCCTTACCTACAGGTGACAACTCAGGCACGCTGCCAACATATGGTCCATCTAGGAATTTTGGCTCACTGTCATTAATATCCTGGACTTTGATGATAAATTCCGATTCAGGCTCCAGAGGTCTGTCAGTCAGCCTGTCCCGTGCTTGAGCACGAAGGGTGTAGTAGGTTTTTTCTTCACGATCCAATCGCTCTGTGGCATGGATATCCCCTGTAATCTCATCGATAATGAATACTGTCCCAGCACCCTCCCCTGATATGGTGTACTTTATGGAGCCATCTCCTTTGTCCGAGTCTGAGTGAATCTAGAAAAGAGAAAGAAACCATTTTAATAAATCTAGTTAGTTAGTCATTTTGGAACTGTTTATAACTGGATGAAGCCAGTTTGTGGCATAGGAAGAATTCTATTTGTTTCTATTCAGATTCAGAATGGCAAACTTTTGCCTTGAAAGGCTTTTTTTGATGGGCAAAGGTACCAAGGGATACGAAGCAAAGGCAGGAAAATGGAATTGGGGTTCTAATCAGCTGTGGTCTCTTTGAATTGCCAACTCAAGGAAGAATTGAGGTGAATGGAAGAGATGCAGTTAAGAGGAAGCTGAATATGTATACGAGGGGCAAAGGAATAGAAGTATATGCTGATTAGATTAGATGAGATAAGGAGGTGTGGGAGATGGCTCATGTGGAATATAGATGATTTAACCAAATGGCATGTTTCTGTACTGTATGTCTATCTATGTTAACCCATGTGACAGATGTCAGGGTTACTCTTATTTCTGATGTTCTTATGCTCGCATATGGGTATCAAGAAATACATAGGAATATGATATTACAGTATAAGACTGGCAGTACTGTTGCTTGGAGACAGACAGCAGAAACCAGCATGAGTCAGACTTCAGTGTGGAAATGCACTTACATGATGTGAGTGAGTTCTACCAGTGTATAGCCTGTGCCTGGAGATGTGGTGACCTTTCTTCACCGGGGTGATTCCTGAATGTGGTGAACTTTGAAATTAGATTTATAAATGGAGCAGCTGTGTGTGCTAAACTTGACACAATCCAATATTAGGTTCCAAAATACCTTTTTTCCACTATGAGTTTGAAATTAGCCTGGCCTTTTCTTTATAGTTTTTTTTAATGTGCTCAGCCTAACTTTGCTCAATTTGATGCTGGTTCGATGGCTGGATAAAACACAAGATACTAGGGTGAGGCAAACTTCCTCTTTTTATTGCATGGAGTGGAAGCTTGAATAACTATTTTCTTCTCCTTCTACAACTGTGTCCATCTAGTATTGGGCCCAGCTTTCTTTATGATTTTACATGAGGGAGTGCCATTGTGTTCTCAACCTGATAAGGCAATTAATTAGCAATGGCTGACCAGGAACCTGTCAGTGCCCTTCAAGGCTCCTGGAAAGATTAGCACATAGTTTATTTTCAATCTTGACTGCGCATGAACACTCCTTCCGTGACCAATAAGGCCTTGAGTGGGGCTTGAATCTGAAGCATAGTCACTCCCCTCGACAGGAAATCAGAGCAATGAGTATATGCGCTAAGAATTTTCATAAAAGCAGTGCACAGGGGCAGCTTTTTCCATCTCTGGCTGTACTTAGCACTCCTGAGGTACTTGAATGTAGCAACGTTTGGGGATGGGATAACTCCAGAAGGGCGAATTCTTTCAAATGAGACAGGGACTGGATTATGTAAGATATATATACAGGATGGCATGGCGGCTCAGCGGTTAGCATTGCTGCCTCACAGTGCCAGGGACTCGAGTTTGATTCCACCCTTGGGCAACTGTCTGTGTGGAGTTTACACATTCTCCCTGTGTCAGCGCACGTTTCCTCTGGGCGCTCTGGTATCGTCCCACAGTCCAAGATGTACAGGTTAGGGGGATTGGCCATGCTAAATTGTCCCATAGTGTCCTCGGTTATGCAGGCTAGGGGGATTGACCATGAGTTACAGAGATAAGGTAGGGGGTGAGTCTGGATGGACGCTCTTTGGAGGGTTGGTGTGGACTTGATAGGCCGAATGGCCTGCTTTCACACTATAGAGATTCTATGATACAGAACCAAAGCATTCCATTGAGCCCGAACAATCCATTTTGAGGTTTATTTTTCTCCCTGTTTCCTGTTTAACATTTTTGTCAAATACTCAATTCATATGCTCTTCAAATTCCCTGATGAATTGAGGTAGATCAGCTTTTAAACTACCTTGGTTGGTGGTGTGTTAAAATAGAGTGGAGGGGTACTTTTTACAGCCTGATTACAGAAGAAGGTGGGATCCTCTTTAAAGATATAGATAGGGCTGGATTCTGTCCTTGGCTTAGGTGAGTTATTCAAACATTTTGTTATTTATATGTTGAATGAGGAACCGGTGACCCTCAGGTTAAACTCATACCAGTCTTTATTGAGAGGGTGGGAAAATGCTGACCTTGTCTTTATTGAGAGAAGCCCAGTTTCATTCGATCAACTGGGCAATACAAACTTTGATTGATACAGTATCATTAATGCAAAAATGTTCATTAATTTCAGACGGCGCAATGAAAAGAAAATGGACACTGAGTTAAATGATCAAATTCCAAGAGGTATTCTCCTTTTGCAAGGAAGAAACTGAGCCCAGTTACCTATCCTGATGTCAAAGAAGTTCTGGTTCAAGCTACTACTAGCAGAGAATTTTCCAATCTCTGGGATTGTCACTCATTCCAGCTATCTCCAGAGTACAGCTCCAGATGTCAGTGAGACCCTGCAGAGTCTCTCACATTATACTGCCCCAGATTCATTATCCACATGGAGAATGGTTATGTTATGGTGTGTGGAGACTGGATTGCAACATTTGAATTGTTTTTCCACACACGTATGATTAAAGATTTTCAACCATATCTGCACAAAGGGTTAATTTTTAAAAAACACTAAGGTCAATAACTAGATACTTTCTGCTACCTAAGCAAAATGGCAATGCATTGAATTCAGATGGTACCAAATTCCAGGTGTGTCAAAGATGTCAGCTATTCCAACTGGCAGGGGCTGGTGGGAGCTATCCAGGGAATTTTACAGGCCACTGCCAGTAAAAAGTAAAATTCAACTCTATTTCTTGAGACGTCCTGAGAGGAGCGGAGTTTCAAGTGGTCATTGATATAGTATCGTTAATGTAAAAATGTTCATTAATTTGAGAATGTGTAATAAAAAAAATGGATACTGGGTTAAATGAACAATTACCAAGAGGGCATCTAAAAATGGATCTTAAACCATACACTAAAGAAAGAATAGGAGGCAAAAGTGCGAAGCGATTTAGAAATTTCAGAACCTATAACAGATAATGGTAAGACTGCCAATGGTGATAGAGTGTGAAGAACAAGTCACCAGAGTAAGGAGAAAGGACAAGAGGTGAGGGCTGTACTTTTGGCAAGAGTGATACAGATGGGGTTTGGCAAGTCATTGAGGGTCAATTGGAGATGCTGGAAATTTTAAAATTGCAATGCTGGGGTGATGGGAGCATCTGTAGAACCACAAAGACCTGTGGTGGTGAACAAGCAAATGGAAGAGCAGGTTCAAACAATAATTAAATGTTTTTAGTTACTTCTGCCTGCATATTTGAAATTCATTCATAAATAAGTGTGAAAGCATGGAGTGAAAAGCTATTTAAACCTTCTGAGACCATCTGACCCATTGTACAATCATAATATCAAGGTATTCACAAAGATCAAGGATCAGAATATACCAGCAGCAAGTAGTTTGGATCTGGAGTGCATTGCCTGAGAGTATGATGGGTTCAATCATGGATTTAAAGAGGGAATTCTAAAAATTACCTGAAGAAATAAATTTGCAGGTCTCTGGGGAAATGGTAGGGAAGTGAGACTAGGTGAGTTGCACTTGGAAACTGCCAACATAGACAGGACAGGTCAAATAGCGTTCTTTATACTGTAATCATTCTTTGGTTCTGATTTTGTGGCCCATTCCATTCCCAGATTTCTCAGAAGAGGTTTATTTTCGACCAAGTAAAACTTCCGTAAAGGTAAATCTATACTCCAGATATTCTTGCCTCGTGCTGAATAATTGACGACAAACCGTTAAGTAAACTATTTAATCATTTTGGCCTAAATCTATCCCTAGAATCTAGAATTGCATTTTTGTTTGACAGACATCTGACGTTTCAAATGAGCTCTGTGAATTAACACATGGACTGTTGGAAATCCATTCCACACAAACAGTAAAAACAACCCTCACACCATGCATGGGCACGTACGCGCGTGCGCGCGCGCGCGCGCGCACACACACACACACACACACACACACACAAACAGACAGACACAAGGAAAATTCCTACCAATATCCAGCTTCACTTAAGGTTTAACTTTTTAATCTGGGTCTGGTCTTACAAACAAAATTAAAGATCAACGAAAATAATGTTCAATTACCTGTTTTATGTGCATCATCTATTATTATTTTTACAACCATGAGTGAAACTTGCTTCTAAGGAGACAAAGAAAAATAACCATTTTTCTTTTTGAAAACACTTTATTGCTTCTTTTAGGCTGTGCAGAATAATCAGATGAGCATCTGGAGACTGCAGAAACACAGAATCATGAAAATGGTTACCACACAGGAGGTGTAAGGACACGTGGCCTGTCATAACTTTGCTGGTTCTCTGCAATGTGAACATCAGCAGGCCATTCAGCCTTGAATTTTTTCTAGTATATAAGTTGGTCATAACTGGTCACAGTCCTCCACCCACCTTGGTTTTGCAGCTGTTAAAATCACTGTCCAACAAAAGCCTAACAATCATCTTAGCCTGGACAGTATTTTTTGCAAAGAAGAACACCTATTTGCATGAGTTAGTGTTCCAGTTTTCACAATCGTCAATGCAACTGAATAAACCTTCCTCTCAAGAACTGGTCATGTGATTTCTTAAAGGATTATCATGAATCCAAGCACCAGGAACTTCAAATTGGTAACAGCTGTCTCTAAGACAATAGCTACTCTTTGGTATCTAACCTGACTGTCTGTGCAAGATAATGAGCAGTTTCCATAACAGCCAAACTCAGTGGGGTTTTTATGACGTAATTTTAAACTGTACTCTTCCACAGGTCTTCATTATTCACATTCATTGACTCAACATTCAATTTCTGTTTGAAGTTCTACTGCTGTGAATGATCTGGCCATGACTTACCTCATGATTCAGTGAAAATATGCTTCTCATTGACTGCATAAGTACAGAATAATGATTGACAAGACACGGATATGCCAGCTGCTGCTCTGCTTCAGTAGATCCTCAGCATCAAGTCAAAGGAAAAGCAGACTTTTTACACAGTTATTTGTATTGATGTTGACCATGGATGAATTTTAACAGCCTTCCCATCAGCTGCGGAGACCGTATTTGGGAGGAAGGTTGTACTGAATAGAAACATGTTTTTCACAATTGCCCAGGAAGATCTCCCCTCAAGAGGTGATATGTGTTTAAACCCACCTCTTCGTCTGTCCTGGCAATATTTCTGTCAAGACGATAGTTATATAACACTTCCCCTGTCATCCATCAACCACATATTTACCCATATTCTTATAGTGCAGTGGGCATTTCCAATGTCCAAAGCCACTTCTGGTGAGACATACCAATAAGTCTAGAGTACAGCAATAAAACTACCAAATATTTCAGTCTAGGTCTTGTTCAAAGTTGCTTTCCTTGACTTAAAACCAAGTTGCTCACAGGCAGAAGACTGGAGACTTTTAGCAAGATGCTTATTTTGGCTTCTATATTGATATACTTGTTCTAGGTCAATACTCTTAAATACATAAGGAATAATTCCTGTTGCAACAAAAAGAAACATTTACTTCCAATTAAACTGCCTGATTGCACTGGTTCATTGATGATTCGATATGATTATGCAAATAACTTTTGGCATAATTCTATGCAGTTTTGAGCACAATTTCCAGGTGCCAAAGCGGAAAATCAACCCCCCTGTGCTCCACATCCTGTCCTTCTTAACAATTCTATTTATTTAGAATCCCTACAGTGTGGAAACAGGCATTCAACCCATCGAGTCCACACTGAACCTGTGAAGAGCATCCCACCTAGGCCTGACCCCCTACCCTATCCCTAAATTTCCCATGGCCAATCTGCATAGCCTGCCTATCCCTGGATACTATGGGCAATTTAGCACAGCCAATCCACCTAATCTGCACATTTTTGGACTGTGGGAAGAAACCTGGAGGAAACCCACGCAGACACAGGTAGAATGTGCAAACTCCACACAGACAATTGCCTGAGGGTACAATTGAACTCAAGTCACTGGCACTGTGAGGCAGCAGTGCTAACAACTGAGCCACCATGCCACCCTTGGGTTGAAAAGGGTAGTTTTTCATGGTTACCTCAGCAGTTGGCACCACACTGCTTCGTAAAGCCAATCCTCCAGCCAACTGAGCTAAACCAAATGCCACAGATTATGGGAATGCCCTGAATTATTCTGACAAGTGTAGTCTAGAACTGATCCAATGCCACAGTCAATGTAGAAACGAGATGGCACTGCAGAAAATGGTTTAATCTGTCCATTTCTCCAACACTTGATTGACACAAACATATAGTAAAGAATAAATTGAACTTTGAGAATGTTTGCTTTTACCTATTCATATTGTGCCGAGCTAGTTAGTGACAGGGGCCTTGCAATAAAACAGCTGAAGATTATTGAAAGATTTTTTTTTAGAACAGTAACTCTGTTATTTTGTGGACACTTTGTAAATACAACACAGTAGAAAATGGGTCACCATGGTAACAAAAGTGAGTCCACAGTGGCTGTAGATCATTTTGAACACCTACACGTATGTGAGATTGTAGATTGAGAGCAAATAAGTGTGTCGTTCAGTCATGGATAATATTTGTAGGAATCTACTGTTGACAGGCTGCCTTGTAAGATTTGTATGATTGGAAAGCTAGACAGTTCAGTGTAAAATGGGAGATAATGCTAACAACAACTTGGATTGATATAGCACCTTCAATATAACACAATATTCCATGATGGTGCTTTACAAACATTACATTTGGTGCTGAACCACATAAGGGAATATTAAGCGGTGGCTTGGCCAAAGCATTTAATCAGAATCTTTAGGCAGGAATGTGAAGTAAGGAGGCAGAGAGGTTGACAGAGAGTGTTTCAGACCTTAGGGCCTAGGTCACTGAAGGCATAGCCACACAAAAGGTGTTGGAATTAAAGTTAATTAAATAATTAGGAATGCTGAAAAGAGCAGAATTTAAGAAGCACGGATATCTATTTATTTATGTATTGTTGGGGGACACCATATTTGAAGTGTGAAGCCATGCTGACATTTGAAATTTAAGATGAAAATTTCCACGTCAAAGTGTTATTTAGCGGGGAGCTAATGTCAGCTTTCCGTTGCTACAACTTTGTTCTCCAGTGGTGAAATGTCCTGATATGTCCTGACTGCTGCTACCATTTCCTTGACAAACTCGAACCAAGAATACACCTTTCATCTTGATGTTAGTCTAAGGTAAGAATATGATTTCAAAAGGTGAGGCACTTTGGAATGTGGTTCCTTTAAAGCTATTTTATGTTATGCATAAACCAAAGATTCTGTTTAGATTCTAGCAAAGATGTTCAAATGTGATAACAATGAATGCTTGTTTTCTTTACAGAGCCAGGGCTTATGCCCAAAGTTTCTTTGGTTAAATAAATCCTGTGGGCAAGAAGATATAACACTGCAAAATAAAATGTGGAATCCCTTTGCACCTTGTGTTTCTATCAATGTTTAATTTTTCACTCTAAGAAGGTATCTACTACAGGAGTTGTAACCTGTAACCTGAATATGGATAGGAAACAACAACTTTAATTATATGTAGAATCTTCAATGTAGAAGAGAAGTCCCAAGGTATTTCGCAGATCATAGAATTCCTACAGTGCGAAAGCAGGCCATTTGGCCCATCGAGTCCACACCAACCTCTGAAGAGCCACTCCCTATCTATCCTATCCCTGTAAACCTGCATTTCCCATGGCTAACCCAATTAGCCTGCACATCCCTGGACACTGTGGGCAATTTAGTATGGCCAATCCACCCAGCCTGCACATTTTTGGACTGTGGGAGGAAACCGGAGCACCCGGAGGAAACCCACGCAGACACGGGGAGAATGTGCAAACTTCACACAGACAGTCACCTGAGGGTGGAATCAAACTGAGTCCCTGATGCAGTGAGGCAACAGTGCGAACCACTGCACCACCGTGAGAAGTGAGCATCGAGTAAACTTCAGCACCCTGATGACAGGGGTTTATAAAATAGGCACGTGCAGGTACAGATTTGTTCACACCATTCTCCAATGTTCAGCTACCTTTCGAAGAAAGTATATCATATTGCTATCATATCTCTGTCAGCAAAACAATGTGCTGGGATGTTGCCGTACATTAACCATCTAGTGACATGCAACAATTTATAACAGATATTGTGCTCCTAAAAGCTATGTGTGGCTTGGTATGTGACGCTAAGTTATTGGTAGGTCTATCAGTATGTTTTCAGCAGACACTTTTAAATAGTTTCTGTGAAGTGAAACAACAGATATTGAAATGAACATTTGAACAAAGGAAAAAACAGTTAATAATGCTGTCATTACATCTACTACATTACATGCCTCTAATCAGTCAAATAAAATTATCGAGAATCAAATTGTTCAAGTGGCAAGTGCTGTCAACAAAAATGAAGCACAAAGCTTTGGTGAAGTTACAAATAACTGTGACTACACTGACTGTAGATGTTAAGAATTCTCTCCTCCTCATCGTCAGTGCTGAAACAGTCCCCTAGTTTAGAGCACAGAGAATAACTCTTCCATTTGTGTAGCTGAGATCTCTTGGGCTGCACCCTGAGTATGTAAACACCATGCGTCATTGTGTTTTGAGGAGCTAACTTCTCCAAGCATTAGCAGATGGGTCTGGCCACATTACTATGGAAAGCTCCGAGCTGTTGGACCATGCTAAATCACTTGTCCTTTCGGGGGGTATTTATGCCAACAAACAGCTCTGACCCTTAGCCCATCAGAAACTGATCAATTCATTACTTCCTCGAGGCTGTGTGAGATGATGGGATCTGTTAGATCTCTGAGCAAACTTTCAAAGTCATTTTGTAAAGTGCCTCCTCACTAGAACTTTGAACTAAGCACCGTGACACAGCTTAGCTGGTGGAAAGAAGGGTAGAACCTCGTCAGATCCTTCCTGAGTGCTGAAACATGTCACCTCTGCCTATTGTCCTCACGGCGACTGTGCTGGGTAAAAAAACTGTAGCCCATTGTCTTCTGGAATGTACTTTGACAAAGGATGTCCAGAGAGAGTTGCAATGTCTTTCAGTTTCACACTTTAATTAAGTCCCTGGATCTTTGGGGAGATTTCTTTCCTTGTCTACTGTGAAGACTGCCTAACAATACTTATTTAGCTTCTCTGCCATTTCTCTATTTCAAATTATAAACTGCTCTGTCTCACTAGAATGGAGCTATATTTGTTTTTTTTTGCTACCTCTTCCTTTTTATATAGCTATAGAAGCTTTTACAATTTTTTTTTATGTTCCTTACCATTTTATCTTGAAAGAGACCAAACATTTTCTTTTTGAGAACTCAACAAAAGAACGAAACCAGACATTTGGTTTCTGGCATTGACCTAGGAACTAGAAAAGGCAGCGCTGTCAACTCTAAAATCCTCCTTACTAATATTTAGAGGCTAGTGCCAAAATTGGGAGAGCTGTCTCACAGTCTAGTCAAGCAACAGCCTGACATAGTAATACTCACGGAATCATACCTTA